CGGTCATCGCTAGCTATTTCCAAACCCCTCTCATTACCCAGAAGAGAAACTCTGTCTATTAAACGCTAGCCACCCACTTGCCCTCCCCTGTCCTTGGGGACCTTCACCCTATTTTCTGTTGGTGTGTATTTGGCTGCTGGAGAACTTTCTTAGAAGTGGATGCTAGCATCTCTGTGGGCTTTCCATGGTGTAGCCCGTGTTGGAAGCCGGGTCTGTGCAGCTGAAGAAGAGTCTGTGGCTTCCATCAGATCACAGTGAGGCACAGTCCACCATTTATGACCCTTGTTACTCCTGCAGGGTTGGCAGTAATGTTAGGGTGGATTTTTGTTTCTGAAAACAAAAAAAAAAATGCCTGGCCACTGAGATAGCTCAGTGGCCTAAGCGCCTGCCTAGGCAAGCGCAGGAATTGGGGTTCAATCCAGTCCAGGTGTGGGGATGTATGCCTGTAATCCCAGGGTTAGGGAGGCTGAAAACTGGAGGGTCACTACGAGTCTGAGTTGCGTAGTGAGACCCTATGCCAAATACATAAAATTTAACAAAAACAAACCCCCAAAACAACAACAACAGAAAAAACAACTTGGGATTCTGACAGGACTTGCCTTAGATCTATAGGTTATTGGGTATTGACAACTTTACAATGTAAACCAGTCTGACATGGGATGCATTTCTATTTACTTTCAGCAATGTTTTGTAGTTTTTATGTATCATTTTTTTAAAAAAACACCTTGGTTTTATTTCAAATGGAATTATTTTCTTTGAATTATTTTTAATACACAGACATACAATCAAGACTTACGTATTGATATTATTATAGCTTGGTAGAATATTATTAGCTCTGGTCTGTGCGTGCAATCATTAAGAGTTTCCACCTAGGAGATCATGTCTTCTGCAAACAGAGATAATTTCACACCTTCCTGTCCAGTTTGGAGGGGTTTTCTTTCTCTTCCGTGCCTAGCTGCTCTAGCAAGGACTTGTGGCGCCACGGCACACAGAAGTGGCGAAGCGCGCATCCTGGTCTTGTTCCTGGTCCTGACTTTCCCCACTGAGTATGATGTCGGCGATAGGCTTTTCCTGCGTGGTCTGTATTAGTCTGAGGAACTGTCCTTAGTTTGCGAGGGTGCCTTTTGTCTTTCTCTTTTCCCTCTTCCCCAATCCTGGAATAGACAAGCTGCATACCTGCCTCAGGTGACACCCCTTCCTGCACTGGGGTACACACCTGAAGGAAGGCAGCTCTTATTTCTCTCTTCACAGAACTTGCACACTTCGCTTCCTCTTTCCAATAATTCACTCGGGCACAATGCAAACCTTTGTTGAAGCCCTGCTCTGTGTGCCAGGCTTGAGCATAGTCTTTTCCTATTTACAGGAGGTTTCACATAATTTTTCACAGTTATTTTTCCTCCCTCCTTCCTTCACTCCCTTCTTTCTTTTGGTCCCCACCCCCTTTCATTTTCTTTCCTGGTACACGGGATTGAACCTAGACCTTCAGTTTGTACAACATTACCAGCCCTTTTCTGTATTTTTAATTTTGAGACAAGGCCTTGCTAGGTTGTCCACTCTGGGATTAAAACACGTGATTTTCCTGCTTCAGCCTCCCAGAGTGCTGAGATGGCAAGTGTGTGCCACCATGCCTGGCTTGTCTCAGTTTTCATGGGAGCTGTGTGGAACAGAGATGTTTTCTATCTCCTTAGTTAGAAGCAAGGATGCAGAGGGACTTGCCCAAGGCAGAACCAGCTCCCAGCACTGCTTGTCCTAATGAATTCACCCCAGAAGGCTGTTGTTTATATATGCAACTTATATCCCACATTGTAGGCTGTGGAAAGTGCCTATGACCAGTCCTGATGTCTCCTTTGTCTCTTTGCTGTCACAGAGGTCTTGGACTCATGTCAAGAACTGTAAAAACAACATGCGTCCAAATTGGGGCTTGGTGACTCAGCTGTTGGAATGGGAGAAGACCATCCTTGGAGACTTTGTCACAGACATCTCAGATCCGCTCTACTGATCTCTGTAGCCCCATGATGGGTGCTGAAGAACCTCGCTTAGGGCGTCTGGTGGGTAGGGGGTGAAAGTATGTACACAGCTTGGTCTGGAAGCAGAAGGCCTTCACTGCTACAAGCCTCATGTTCCTCCAGCCTCGTTCTTTCTAGGCCTCTTTTTCATGGAACATAGCAGATTGTCTTAGTTAGTATTTACTTGTTGCTGGGACAAATAACCGACACTCAAAATGAAGAATGGAAAGGTTTATTTAGCTCAGTTACTGGAGGGTTCAGTCCATATTCCGCTGGCTCCAAGGCAAACAACAGCAGTTCATGCAGCAGAAAACAATGAAGAGCAGAGGAGGAGCAGCAGCTGCAGCAGCGTCCATCAAGCCTCTCTCTTCCTTCTACACTGACTTCCAAGACCAGTGCTCCACGGCAAAGGTTGGAGCTCTTCCAAATGGCGCAGCTTCAAGGCTCAAGCTCCTCCAAAAAACTGGGCCTTCTCCATGGAAGCGGGCAGGGTGGCAGGAAGGTGGGCAGGGCTGCAGGAAGCCTTTCTCATTTCCTGGGCCCTGCCCACCTGCAGGGCTAGGCCCCCAGGCTGAGAACTGCTGGAGCTGATTCAGCCACATTGACACAATGTCTCAACTAACACACAGATGCACCTGCTCAGGCTCTGCTAGAATATCCAAGCCACCTCTTGCTGCTGGAGTGGCTACTGCACACACCCCATGAATCAGATCTGCTGGCGGTTGTCTCGGGATGCTTGACTTGTATGGTCCACAGGGAGTGTCACAGTACTTACCCCTGGGCACAAGTCCCCACAGCTCCTGGAATGAGGCCTCTTTCCTATTGCCAGCACAGTGCTGACTGTGCCCCTGGGTCTTGGTATAGATTTCCTTTCTCTGCCTTCCCTAGCCCTTTGCTACCTGGTCCTGCTCACCAAGGACAAATCCCACTTCTCCCAGCTCCCACATCCAAGTTTCTAGAAAATTCCTCAGGTATTACAGTGTACTTTCCTTGTGTGGGCAGCCCTCAGAGAACACCTTGGGCATCAGGACAGAGCGCAGATAAGGGGATGAGCGGGCAGTTTAGGATGTCCCCTAGTGTGGGAGCTTTCCTGAATTCATCCAGTAACCATCCCCTGCTACTGCCTGGGGGAGGCTGGGACATGCTGAGCCTACACTCCTTGGAGGGATGGAGGGGTGTGTGTAGAGTCCCCTATCAGAAGGGCAAACCTTCAAAATTGTGGGGTTTTCCTCGCAGGAGGAATTGTTTTTCAGGCAGCGCTAGCTCTGATCAGAGCTTTAGAATGGCTGTAGAGAAAGGTTTTGCGTGTGTGTGTGTGTGGGGGGGGTTCCTGCTAAGCCAAGCAGAGCCCGTGGGAAGTCTTCGGCAGGGGCATGGTGTGACATTACTGTGTGCCTTGAGAAGGGCAGTCTGGTGGCTGAGTGAGGGACGGTGGAGGTGGGCCAGGAGGGAGGGAAACCAGAAAGGAGATGGCTGTAAATCTCAGCCACAGGAGAGGCTTGGGAGTCCCTTCCTCAAAGAAGCGTAACTTCTCAGAGAGGAAGGCATTAAAGGCAGATATCACCTTCCTGGGCTTTGGTTTGGTTTAGCATAAAGGGCTGGACCGTTGCTAGCGGTCCCACGAGGTTAGCTCGGCCGGCTCACACCCCGCAGCCTCGGTTCCCAGGATCGCAGGGCGAGGTGCTCCGGACTCACGTGGCCCCGCCCCTGCCCCACCCTGGTCCTTGATTGGCTCGGGTGGAGGGCGGGGCCAGCGCGCGGCCCGCGCCGAGGCCTTTCCCGTTGGTTAAGGCGGCTCGAGCCCGGAAGCCGACCGGGGAGGCGGCGGCGTCGCCTCGGGGCGGCTGGATTTGTTGCACGTCCTCTACTCGCGGCCCCTGCGACCCGTGGCGTGGCAGCCATGCAGCCCCCGCCCCCGGGCCCGCTGGGCGACTGTCTGCGGGACTGGGAGGATCTGCAGCAGGACTTCCATACCATCCAGGTGAGCGCTGCAGCGGCTTATTGGGCCCTAGCCGGGATGTCCCTTTGGCCGGGGCTCAAGGGTCGGACAGCCCGAGGTCAGGCTGGGGGAAGTCGGGGTCAGGGGTCGGGGATCCTGGGTTCCAGTGTCTAGGCGGCATACCTGTTCTGCGCGTCCACTGCGTCCTCGTGGGGACCCTCACGGTGCTAGGCGACCTCGATCACTCTGGGCCTCAGAAAGAAGCCGAGACCCCACGGGCTCTCTCGCTGGCTGCACGTCAACCCTGGCCCGGATTCATCCTAGACCCCATCCCGGTCCCCATCCCAGACCGCTCCCAGAAGAGCTGTTACCCGGGCCCAGAGCTCTGGGTCAGTCACTCTGCAAATACGCTTCCCCGCCCTCCTAGCTGAGAGCTGGAAAGCTGGATTGCGAGAGGTCTCTGGCCCAGATGGGGGGCGGGGCCTTTCCCTGAGAGACAGCGTCCTTTCTGCCGAAGGTGAGAGCTTGACAGGCCAGGCTGCTGCCCTCGGGTGAGGAGGTGGGCCTGGCCCGGATTGAAATGTCACTGAGGCCAGTGGGAAGCTATAGTACACCTTATCTTGACAGGGTTTGTAAGCGGCTGCTGTGTCCCAGGCCAGAAGGGAGGAGGCTGCTGGCTTCCTCCAAGAAGAAGGTGGTGGCTGTGTCTGCAGAGATGACACATGCCACATGCTGCATGCTGGCATCTGAGGGGGTGTGGTGACCAATGGGCTTGAGGAAAAAAAGACCCAGAATGGATCCCAGGCCAGCTGGAGACTTGGCTAGACCTTTGCCTCTCCTGGGCTGGTCCAGCCCCTTCCTGTCTCCATGTCTGCCCCCTCGTCCTGCCCAGCCAGTTGCCATTAGTACTTCTCCCTGGAGTCTCCCAGGCTGGCTGCCACTGTGCTGGTTTTGACCCCTGTCTTGATTTCTCCACACTGCCCCTAGCCCAGTCTCCAGGCAGTGCCTTTTTGAGGCTCCCCACCCGGAGAGAGTGCTTGAGTTAGCCCTGGGCCAAAGGTGCTGGAGGAGGAAAGGGGATGGGCCTTCGGGCAGGAGGTGCTGGGGCTGAAGCCTGATGACCTTTAACCTGGGAAGAAGCATCAGAAAGGCCTGAGCAGAAGGCCCCATGGATGAGCCAGGCTCTCTGTACTTGCTGGCTTGGAGAGCTGAGAGGGCCAGGGTGCCAGGCTTGGGACCCAGACTCAGATAGGACAGAGAGCCAAGTGACAACTGCTAGGTGGCTGGAACTAAGAAACCTTTGTAGAGCTCAGTGGAGGCCTCTGGGTATTCATGGAAGACAGCCAGCTCTGCTCCTCCCTTGGTGAGAGAGCAGCCTCAGGGAGGGCCCTGGTGGGCACAGCGAGGTCTTCTAGAGCTCACGCTCCACCAGCAGCGGCTCCCCAGCTAGCCCGAGCTTTCTCTGTGCCCCAGGAGACCCACCGGCAGTACCGCCTGAAGCTGGAGGAGCTGACCAAGCTGCAGATGAACTGCACCAGCTCCATTGCGCGGCAGAAGAAGCGGCTCCAGGAGCTGGCACTCGTCCTGAAGAAGTTAGGAGTCTACCGCTGGGTGTGGGGTGGGAAGTGGGTGCTGCCTCAGGGGTGACCTGGCCAGGCCTCTCCATCCCCTGGCCTCCCATGCCCTTCTGTGCCAGGGGGCCCAGTACAATGCTGCTGACCCCCCCGCCCTGACCTTCCACCCCACCTGCAGATGCAAAGCCTCCCTCCCGGCGGAGGCCTCTGCAGCTGCGCAGGAGCTGGAGACCCAGATGAAGGAGCGGCAAGGCCTCTTCTTTGACATGGAGGCCTACTTGCCCAAGAAGAACGGGTGAGCTTCACCCCAGTGCTAGTCACAGCCCTCTGGGGGAATGGTTCTGAAGCTGATGCTTCTAGGTCATGGCCCGAGCAATGAGGTGCAGTCCTAACTTTGGGGGACAGCTCGCTGTGGGGGAGCCAAGTGGGAAGTGAGGGTGATACACTGGCCATCTATCAGAGAAGGCTTCTTGGGATCCTGCGTTGTGTTCAGGTAAAAGAGTGAGCCAGACAGACGTGGGAAAAAGAGGAAACATTGGTGACTGCGCAGGCTCTGATTGGGGGATGCGGGGACAATGGGACCAGAGAGCTCATGGAGCTTGTGGCGAGACATGCACTTGGGAAAGCTAGCTGCCCTCCCAGGAGGATGGACACCATAACCTTAGGCTGAGCAGAACCCCTGAAAGGAGCCTGGGGCATTTCTGGAAAATAAGGAAGAAAGAGGGTTCTGGGGTCAGATGGCCCAAAGTGGGGGCTTGGTGCAGCAAGGCGAGGTCACTTCCCGGAGTTGGGGGAAGTGGACCATTGGGGGAAGCAGGAGGACCATTACAGGGAGGCAGGCATTGGGGCTGATGGAGTCGCTGAGGGGACACAGCCAATTCTGTGTGTGACTGACTGTGTGCAAAAGGACAAAAGGTGTGGAAAGTACTCGTGAGAAGTTACTACTGGGTTGGGGCAGATTTGCTTGGTCTGTGTGTTAACTTGCAGGCAGAAGAGACTGAGAGGACCACTGGTCAGGGGCAGTGGATGGCAGAGAGGTCCTGGGGGTGGAGCGCAGGTGTGGCTTGTGCAGTGCACGAGGCAGCAGCTTGAGCCTCGGGGATGGTGAGACCACAGCAGAACGCTGCTGCCAGGTGGGGGCGGTGGCTGAGGCAGAGTGCCTGGGGTCATCTGAGGCTACTCCTGGGAACTGGGGTGCCTCCCATGACCTGGCAGCAGCCCAGGGGTAGAGGCTGTGGGGGGCACTGTTCTGAGAGAGGGTTCCACCCCACAGATTGGGTTGGAGTCTGTGCCCTGTGAGCACTCTCACCACCTCAGAGGGTCCCTGGGGCCAGAGTGTACACAAGACTATATGTTGGGGCCACTGCTTGGGCAGGAAATGTGACTTTGCTCTCAGGCCTTGGAGTTTCTGTGGCAGAGGACAAGACAGACTTGGCTGTGGGAATGATGGGCAGGGCGAGTTAAAGGGCTTGGCTGAGAGGTAGCAGCACTGTGAGAGGGTTGAGCACCAGGCTTCAGCAACGAGAATGGGGTCAGAGAGCACAGGAGTGGGCGTGGGCATAGGGGCTCCCTGAGAGGAACAGGTCCTTGTACAGGTAAAAGGGAGGTTGAGCGCACGGGGTCCCTGCAGCCCGAGCCCCAAGTTTCTGAGGGAGCCCATGGGCTGGGGAAGAGGTCTGAGGGTTGGCTGTGGGTGGGGGCACCCAAGTGGCCTCG